CCCGAAAACTCTTTCATCCTTCCCGGGTAAAGAGGGGCAGCTGTTGACACCCAATTTTTCCCTGTATATTTTCAATATGCAAAATAACTTCAAAATGGCACATATATGCATATGTAAGCATATTCAAGTGTTTTATTATTTTTTCCATAATTTTTAAGGTTCTTTAAAGCAATTTATTTCCCTTTTTTATCCATAAAACCCAATAATCATTTCCAAAATTATTATTTTTGGTAATTCATCTATTGAATTTTCATCTTTATGCCAAGATATAGCTAAGGTAATTTTTATAGGTTTTTACAATTTTGTTTAGTATTTTTAAAAGCAAATTACACATAATTGCAATATTAGCCTTTTTAAGATTAACTATGTTTTATATTCATAAAATTAAGTCCTGTATTTTTAAATTGTTAGTTATATGCTATAAATCATCTTAGTGCTTTCAATTTCGAGAAGTTAATTTCCTATTTTTTTATAATTTTAAAAGGAAAAATTGGCTATTTAAATAATAACCCAATTACATTTCAATTTTAGCCTAAATCTGATCCCAAACTAAACCCAATTTCCCGGCCCAATTCCCATTCAAACCCGACCCCTAACCCAATTAAACGACCCAACCCGGACTCCCTACCTAACCATTTCAATCCTGGCCGTTGATCATTTAGATCAACGACCACTATTCGCCCTTTCAATTTTAACCTTAAACGACCCCTTACCCTACCTCATTCATCACCAAAGGCCGCCCTTGAATCCCCCTTCTCTCAATTCTCTCTGAAACCTCACCTGAACCCTAGCCGCCGCCATCTAATCCCACCCTAATACCTTCCTAATCCATGGCCCCTCGTGGTCATTTGAGACATGTATTAGCCTCCTATGGCTCCTGGGTGTTTGTTTCTGTGGTTTCATGGTCAAGCCTCGAAGGGTCTGGTCCAGTCCTTGCTCAACTTTTGTTCATGGCCTTTCTCCGGCCATCTATGACCTTTCTCTAGCCATTCATGGCCTTTCAAGGCCGATCCTTGACTTTTTCTGGCTAGATCGTCAACTTTCAAAGTCTTTCTCACTTCTTTTGGGTTTTCTGAAACCCTAGCTCTAAGACCTTTCAATTTTCTTTCAAATCTCTCTTAGATTTGTACTTACTATGAATTTCTTAAGTGTTTTCTAGAAGGTTCTTCAACTTTTCTTTCAAAACGACTCTTCATTTTTTCGACGATTAGGGTTTCCTTTAAGTTTTTCAAAAGATCTCTTCTCTGATCTCAATATTGTTTGTGATTTTGTTATGTTTAAAACGACTTGCTCATATTGTTCTTCTATCTATTTCAGCATGTTAAAAACCCTAGTTCCTTTAGTCTTATCCGAGTTCTGAAACTGTTTGTTTAAATGTGTACTTGTTCTTTGTTTCTGACTCTCTTTTCCTTGTTTGACTTGTTTGATTTTGAGTTCTTACCATCTCTTAAACTCGACTACTGCTGAAGCCCTAAATTTCTTAGAAGTTTTTCTCACTTATTACTACTGTGAGACCTTTACCTGTTTCTGATTTCTCTTAGCTAATACTATGTTCTGCTTCACTGTTGATTCTATGTGACTACTTGACCTACTTGACTACTGTGCCTCGAATATTTTCCTTACTACTGAATCCTAGCTTATTTCTGCCACTACTGTATGTCCGTGTTATCTCTTTTGCCAATGTGTTTGGCATCGCATGTCTGATGCTTCTGTTCACTCTATTTATATACTGAAGTTTCTTCCTTGATTGATCTTGATTTGGTGACTGATTGCAAAAGCGTTTTCTTTATAAACCTTAATTTCACTTGTATGTTTAAAATTAATTGATTCCTTTCCCTTTACTGTGATATTTTACCTTGCTGAATCCTTTCCCAAAATAAGCCTATTTTGTACTTAGACTTGATTGTTTACTTCATGCTTTTACTGCCCCTTATATGGCAATAATCAATCTGTCCCCAAATTGATTTCTTTCCTTAATTAAACCTGCTACTACCCGTTAAACAGTGATTCCTTAATTAAAGGGAATCACTTGTGTTAATTGATTCCTACTTGTGATTATTTTCATGTTTGTGTTAAGACTTTACTTATTACCTTACTTATCACTCGTTTTCAAAAGCTATAAATACCCACCCCCTCTTCTTTCAAAAGACGAGCAACTTGAGTTCAAAACACACATTTACACTTAAAACTCTCTCTTTCTTTACTGCTACTTGTGTTGTTGCTTTGTCTAGCCGGCTGAAAGCCAAGGCTAGACTGTGGACTCTTGTTTGCTTTACCTTTCTGCACTTTGCTTCTCTACTGGTATGTCCTAGTTTACTCTTTAAGTCTCAACAACAATATGTTTCTTTAAGTTGCTTCAGTCTCTCATTCATGCTCACTTCTGCCAATGTTTCTGTAGTCTATTTACATTACTAGCATGCTGAAATATGCTCCCTTCCCCTTTTAGATTAATGTTTCCCTATGTATGTACTCTGTCAGTCGCTTGTTATGTGATTTGCTGACTTATGAATCCCAAACCCTGTATCCCCTCTATGTGTTTCTGTTCCTTAGGTTGGTTTGTGGGCAGGCCAACATCATCTGTTGTTGTGCATGACCAAACCTGCCCCTTTTTGGGGTCATATGCTTCATACAATGTATTCCCAAAATCCCTCTACCCTTAGTGTAACTACTGATTCTGGGTATTTTGAGCTCCACTACTACTGTTTTTTTTAAAATCACCCTTTAATACTTACTATTTCCAACTCAGTTTTAATCAACTTCTGTCCTGCACTTCCACTATATTCTTAGAACCTAGGTTCTGCTCCTCTTGTGTGAGCCTTGCCTTGGGACCCTTGAGCTCCCTCTGAACTTGGACGCATAAGGGTTGGCCCTTCCACTGCACTCATTTCTGTCTGGTTATGCAGACCTGGGTGTAAGCACTGCCCGGGGTCCCTTGAGACCTTTAGGGAACTTTGACACACCTAGGTATGAGAAAGGCTTTGAACATCATGGGCATCTGAAGTGATTAATTATATAACTAAGATAGGAAGTCAAGATCAGGCTTCTTTTGGTTATAATTTTTTGTTTCTGCACTTCTTTTTTAATTTAAGTATTTGGTCTGTAATAATTTGTAACGAACATTGGGGTTGGCTAGTAAAAAGGGATGGGGCAACTATGCATGTTTTAAGGGTAGATATCCTGCCTATAGAATCTGTTTAATAAATTATGCATGTTTTACTTCCATACTTAGATATCATGCCTATAGGATCTGTTTGATAAATTCTGCATGTTTTACTTCCACACTTAGACATCATGCCTATAAGATCTAAATGGCTATAATCAGATTTCATGCCTATAAGGTTAAAATCAGCTTCGAAATTAGATGTCATGCCTGTAAGATTAAAATCAATATCTTTATAGAAATTATGCCTATAGGAATTTCGCTGTGGTCAAGTAAACCCTGCCTACTCCACTTCATGATCAATTAGATACCATGCCTATAAGATTAAAATCAGCTATAATAGAGAGCATGCCTATAGGACCTAAAACCAGTTTAGTAAAAAAAATCAGTTTGACTCGTACTGTTCTGAATCAGTTTAAACAACTTACTCCTTTTAGCAATACGGTTTAGAAAGCATGCCTATAGGATCCAAATTGCTCGTCTAGAATTCTTTACTGTTTTACTACACTCCTAATCAACAATAGATATCATGCTCCTAGCACATCACTATTACGCCTAGGCAAGACTTAGGTAATAATAATGATTAAAATTTAATCAAGCCTTATTGCTCTCGGTAGCTCCGCGCCCGGAACCAAGATATCTGCGGTCGATTTCAATTTTAAGGCTAACTCTTATATTTTTGTTTAATTCATCTATTATTTTTTGGATCAAACTAATTCACTTGTTTATAAACCATATATAAATTCAACTATATCGTTTTACGAGTAAATATCAATATGATCATAAAAGAAGAATTTACCTGTTTATATACTTCACTGAAAGTTCACTTATAACGAAAAAATTAGAATTAACTAATTTCCATTTATAAACTACCAATAGATAGGCATTCGAAAATAATAATGACATTTGACAGCTCCTAATTCCTACCGTATGTATATTCTCCTTTCCCTCAATTTACGCAAAAATCTGTAAAACTGATAAATTAGAAATCATGAACTCTATCACATCATTCTCAGTTAAACAAGTATATATATGACTGCAATTTTGAATTTGAATTTGAACAGTATAAAATGAATCTTAATACAATAATTCATTTATTTTTAAAAAGTGTACGAGAAAAAATATTCCTAACCAGCTTTGGTGTTGAACGCCAACTTCTCCAGAGGATCGTCATCGAAATCGTCGATTAGCTTTTCCAGTTAATAAGTACCCCTTATTCCCCTACTTTTTCTATTATGCATGTTATTAGTGTGACACATTTAGAATTTTAAGTCGGTGTGTACATCTATGTTGATTGTACGAATTTAATAGGCTGAATATCTAAAATGACACCTCAACTTGTGCCGTTTTCCAAAGTTAGTTCTTTTGACTCTTAATTTTTTCGAATACTTTATTTTTAAATGGTTTACGAGAAAGATATATTATTAACCAGCTTTGGTGGTGACTACCAGCTTCTCCGGAGGGTCGTCATCGACGTGGTTGATTAGTACTCTACATGGATATTCTAGTTAGAAATTCAAATCAATTACCATAATTATTTAGTAGTCTACGTGAATTAAAGTTAGAAAGTTGAATCTATTTCCATAATCTAATGTTTGGAGATCTTGATTTGGTAAATTAGTTCTGCAAATTACCAGGTCTAAAATCCAAGGCTCTAAAGATATATCAGCAATTCCTATGCTCGATTGCTCGTATACCTAAAGCATCACCATTATGGTTTTAAACAATCAATAAATTCATTAAAAAGTCATTTGATTACAAGAACTCATCGGTAACAATGGGTACTCTAATTTTACTTGAAATTGGACACAGTTGCAAGATATCAATAGAAAATGCAACCTTGATGAGAAATTCAAAAAGTTACTTTATTTCAATATGTAATATGCTTCACACATGTGGAATACCCTCTATTTAAGTAACTTTTTCAGCTTCGAAAATAGAGGCTTAGCACAGCTCTTGCTGATCGCTGCCTTGTAGATAATATGAAGGGTGTAACAGACAAGCAACAAGCAAGAAACTCCCAAAACCAAATAAATAGAACTTATATAGAACTATACACAAGCCCAGTCTCCACATTATTCGCAAGAACCTTCAAACCTTTTCTAGACCTAGCAATCTTCAACCACCTTCAATGAGTGCCCTGGGTAATATTACAAAACTGCACCCTGTCCATATCGCTATCAAAGATGAAATGGAGATAAGATTCCTACTATACACATATCAGGAGACAAGAACACCAGTATTTAACGGAGTTTATTCTGAGCAACAGCCTGGCATAGTTCATCCTCGTAGAATAGAACTCTATTAGAACCCAAGGACTTGCATAGGGGCTTTGGTATAACAGATGGAACCAAGCATCTTGAAGGAAATACTGACTCTTGGAAAAGAACAGCTGCAATTTGCCTCATCTCTGTGAACTTGAGACGGGATGGTGGACGTGGACCATGTTTTGGAGCCTTAGGAGTATGAGGAGAGGGGAGCCATGCACCTTGTCCGTCCTCTTTGCTGCAAGTGAGCGGTATATGAGAAAATTCAACAGACATGTCCAATAGCCATCTAGAGGATGCACTGAGTTAAAATATTACCTTACAAATGGCCAGTGATCAGTGGGGAGAGGAGTCATGGTTCTTAACATCTCCTGCCGCATTCTATCTGGAGTAGTATAATTGAAATGGAAAAGCCTTGCCTGAATTACCTATTTAATTTGTACGACTGATTAGATTCCAATACATTTTCCATGTCAAAAACAAGATACACACGGAGAAAAAGAGAGATAGTGAGCAAGTGACTCACTGCCTTCCTGATCTTTTGAGAGACATGGAAAACTGCTTTGAGTTGGTCGTGGTGCAGATGGCAAAGTATTTTAACCTCAATCAGAAAGTAAAAATCCATCAGTCATTCAGCCCAGACAGTTGAATGTGGCAAAACAGAGAACTTAAAGAGTTAGTTTCCTAAATAGCACCAACAAGACTAACACACAAGGGCAAGACTAAGGACCATGCCCTACGGGTCTTGGATTCAATTTTTAGCAGATGCAGAGCACATTTATACTTTTTTCCTGATGAGTACATTTTGATGTTTTATTGACTCTATGTTAAGAAAAACACGCAAAGATCAACTTTTCAACACCCAATAGTTTTTGATAATGCACAACGGCCCAATAGTCTTTGAAATACATGTCATAACTTTCTCCAATCAGCTATTTTCAGCTGATCGCGTAATCCATCAAATTTATTCAGGTCAAATAATTTCTTTCTTTTTCTTCTTGAAGCATTTTTACCTTTAAGTTATCTTAAGTTCGGGTTACTTACAAATTTAAACCTAGAATGAGCAGGTCCTCTGCGTGATGCTATCCAGGAAGCCAATAGGACAGGACATCAAGGTGAAACCAAAAGGGGAAAAAAAAGGTGGCTGTACATAAAATACATCATGAAAGGATTCATATTGTTGCGGATAGATGACATTCATCAATCCATCAGGGAAAATCAAAGAGATCTAGCTGCTAGGATGTGTTGTGGATGAGATACATTTATGTAGCTTCATTCATGAAAGTTCTCCAAACAAATTAATGAAATCAGATGCTATAAATGAGAAACATTATACTTTCCACATAACAGAAGCATATTTCTTATTTTGTCCTACTAGTAAAACAAAATGCAAAGTCAAACAGTTCAAAACATGCAAGTGGAACAAAATGATTATCAGAATATTAAACATACAAGTATAGCATATGATAAATAAAATGAAAAGGATGAGAACACTCTATACCAGTAAATCCATTGGAAGAGACTCGAGCCTTGACTCTGATGTGCACTCTAATGCACCAGGTGTCTTTGGTGTCATTTGCAAATTCTTCTGCTTGGATACGTCAATGGGTGTATGCATAGCACCATAACAAAACCTCACGGGTGATAAAATTGTCGGAGTTTCACAAACATTATGATTTTGAAGCACAATTTGATCTTTTGTTTCATCTGAAGTAATTACCGCCACCCTTTTCTTCCCAAGATCCGTACAAGATTTAGCGGCCGAAACCTTAGTGTAACGAAGCTGTGCCAAAGCACCTGGTCTCAAATACTTGCCCGTTGTACTCCTCGACCGCCTTTTCTGTTTTGGGGTTTTGGATTGACCATCTTTGGGTGACACTTTACCCATATTATTCTGTTCTAATCTCTACTTCCCAAGCAATTAATCAATTTATCACCTTTATTCCAAATATCTCGACTTTAATCATTTTTTATTATTATTTATCAAATCCAGACCAATTCTAACTTGGATTACCCTTCAACATTCACCTGCAAAGCTAAATTCCGAAAAACAACCATCACTACTGGAAAAGTTTTCAAATTTTCCAAAAAGTTCAATAACTAATTACCACAAACATAATAGAAAAACCAGAAAAATAGAAGCTTTAATTAACTGATTATAAAATTCCTCAAAGGTTATAAAGTGAAATACCTTAAAATTAACTTAATCTCACCAATTTCAATCAGTTCCTGGTTTATTTCCCTACAGAACCAAAAACAAAAATCAACCAAAGCTCACAGCTAAACCCTTTAAAAAAATCTCAAATGAAGCATATGGTAAGGCACAAGTGTCAACAATATACATACAGAACTTCAAAATGTTCTACAAAAAGATGAAATAACAACAATAACAATAGAGGCAAATTCAAGATTTGAACTGTATGGGTTCTAGATTCTAGCCCTTTGTAGTTAATGGGTTCTAAGTTTATAATCTGTACAGATTAAATGGATTATTTTAAGACAAACACAGAGTTAGACGAAAGCCCAGTACAATAAACAGTACCATACTCCTGTAACAACACCTTAGTCCCAAACAAGTTAAGGTCGGCTAAATGAATCAGATAAAAACAACAATTATGCCTCAATCCTGAACTAATTAAGGTCGATTTTATGAATCTTCTACTGTTCCACTAAAAATACAAGTAAAAAAAAGTAATTGCTTAAAATAAAACCAGAATACATGAGAAAAAACCAAAAAAATGAATTTTTAGAACATAAATCCAAGATAAATTTAACAAAAATAAATAGAGAAGATAAAATTACGAACCTGAAATGAAGCGGAAAAATGGACTAAAAAGGGCGAGAAGCCAAAACCCTAGCGAAAAAGGGAGAGAAGAGGGAAAATGGGAAGAGGAAAGAGGAGGGAAAATGAGAAAAGGAGTAAGTAATTTAGGGTTTTGGCAAATTAATTAAGGAAAAAAAAAGGTTATTTGAATTTGTTGTAAATGCCCGCCAAATTTTTCAGCAACTGTTTACCATATATAAAATAAAATAAAAAACTGATGAAGTTGGGACCCACGTATGTGGACTTGGGGAACTGGGCCCGGCCCTCGTGGGGAACTGATATATGACTGCTGACGTGGCGAGCTTTTATTGGATGTGTTGACAGGATTTTTTGGGCTCAAAGTAGGAATCCGAGGTTGGGATTCTGACGTGTGATAGTCTCCTACGGCGTAGATGGCGGCAGACTTAGGCTTGTAATTAGATTTTGTTGTGATTTTTTGGTCTATTTAGATATTATCTGTCTATTTCAAAAAACTTATTTTGGGAGGGAAAATTTGATTTTGCTGTTGAATCTTGATATTCTTAATATTGTTCTATTTAGATATTATCTGTCTTGATATTGATCCGAAAACCAGTTTGGTTTCATGCCGGGACGGTCCACTATTGAGACCATTCACATTGTGAGGAGATTGGTGTAGCAGTATAGGGCGATGAAAAAGGAATTGCATATGGTGTTCATTAACCTACAAAAAAACCTATGACAAAGTTCCGAGAGGGATTCTATGAAAATGTTTGGAGGCTAAAGGAGTGCTTTTAGCATATATTAGAGTAATTTAGGATATGTATGATGGAGCTAAGACACGGGTTAGGACAGCAGGAGGAGACTCTGAATACTTTCCTGTTGAGATGGGTTGCATCATGGATCAATAATTAGCCCGTTTTGTTTTCCTTGGCAATTGATGCATTGACGCGACACATTCAAGGGGAGGTGCCTTGGCGTTTGCTATTTGTGGATGACATAGTCTTGATTGATGAGACCCGAGGTGGTGTTAACAAAAGGCTGGATGTCTGGAGACATACTCTGGAGTCTAACGGTTTCAAGTAGAGCATGACCAAGACAGAATACTTGGAGTGCAAGTTCAACAGTGTTACCCATGGGGTGGACAGGGATGTGAAGCTTGATACGCAAGTCAATCCCATGAGAGAGAGTTTCAAGTATCTGGGTCTATAATTCAAAAGGATGGGGAGATTGATGAGGATGTTACACACCGTATCGGAGCATGGCGGATGAAGTGGATGCTCGCTTCTGGTTTCTTGTGCCATAAGAATGTGTCGTTGAGACTTAAGGATAACTTCTACAAGGTAGTGGTTAGACCGACTATATTGTACGGGGCAGAGTATTGGCCAATCAAGAACTCCCATGTCCAGTAGATAAAAATAAAGGTGTTAATCGGGCTGGGTCGGTCCACTAACAACCCGTTTCGACCCGGTTCAGCCAGGGTCAACCCGGTTCGGTAAGGGATGGGACGGGTTGGCTGGGGTAGGGGGCTGTGCCGGACGGGGTCGGGCCTTTTTTTGCTACCGGTGCACCAGAACCCGGCTAGCCCGCTAACCCTTCCACACGGTTTATGTTGCAATTCTTTTTTTAATTATAACTGTTGCCAACGGTCAAAATCAATAATGACCGTTGGGCAACAGCCATTTTTTGCACTTTTAGCCATTTCGGCCTATGCCCTTACCAAAATAGCCCATCCACCCCCTAATAATTGATAAATTACATTCTTAGCCTTTTAATAACTATAAAAAGTTCCCCTCTTCTTCATTTTTTTCACAACTTTCTCTCTTTTTATGCTCTAATTAACTCTCAATTCCCTTTTGGTTATTGAGTTGCTTAGTACTCTCAAGTTCTCAATTAATTAACATTTCAAGTTTTATCTATTATTTACGATAGCCACTACAAAATTACGATTATCAAGTGAAGTGTGGTTACCATTTTTGTTAGGTTCAAGTTAAATCATGCCCCGTTCTTCTAGAATGCGTTCACATATTTGGGAACATTTTGAGGTGGTAGAAGAAAATGAAGAAGTTCGCAAGTAGAGTGCAAGAATTGTGGTCGAGTCTTTAATGTTCATCGAAAGTGGGAGGGCACAACTGGTTTAAGGAGGCATATCAAGGGTTGTCTTGTGCATCCTCCAGAAATTTATATTTAAGTTGATTTGAGACGATTAGGGTTATTTTGAATTTCTTAGACTTATTTAAACTTAATGTGTTAGTTATAAGACAAGCTAATTTAAAGTATTATTATGCAATGAAAATATGAAATGAAAGCATTTGAAATTTGATCCTTACATATTGGTCTTATTAAATAATTGTATGTAGCCACTTAATTTGAATTACCAAATTTTAAAATTCAAATTTCAAATTTAAAATTTAAAACTTTACACTTTAAAGTTTAAAAGTTTAATTTTATGCCTTAAAATACTTATTTCATTATTTTAAAAAATTGCAAATACTTAAGTAACAATTCTATTGAAAAAGGAAACATAATACACTAAAATAAAAAAATAAAAATTAACCCGGCCAGGTCCGAACCCGATAAGCCCGAACCCGAAGGGGCCCACTAAACCCCGAAATATCCCAGCGCACTAACCGGATGGGCTGTTTTTCTCATGTCCAAATCAGTCCAGCCCATCCGGTAAACACCCGTAGATGAATGTAGCTGAAATGAGGATGTTGAGATGGATGTGTGTGCATACTAGGTTGGATAGAATTAGGAATGAAGTTATTCGGGACAAGGTGGGAGTGGCCCATGTGGAGGCCAAGATGCGTGAGGCGAAGCTGAGATGGTTCGGGCATGGTAAGAGGAGAAGTACAGATGCCCCAGACAGAGGGTGTGAGAGGTTGTCAGTGGGGGGTTAGAGGAGGGGTAAAGGTAGGCCAAAGAAGCCTTGGGGAGAGGTGATTAGGCGGGGCATGGCGCATCTTGAGCCAACCGAAGACATGACTCTGGATAGAAGGGTGTGGAGGTTGAAGATTATGGTAGAAGATTAGTAGGTAGTCGTGTGTTTCCCTTTGTCTTCCCTAGTCGATAGTATTAGTGTTAGTACGGTACCCTTTTAACCTTAGTTTGCTATTATCGCATTTCTTGTTCTGTTTATTACTTGCCACCGGTACTTCTGTAGTTTGCTAGCAGTACTTCGTTCATATTCTTGTTTGCTATCTTAGATTTAGTTTCTAATTATATTATCTTGCTATTACTTGCTATCAGGGCTTCTTTCACCTTCTTTAGCCGAGGGTCTATCAGTAACAGTCTCTCTGCCCTTCCAGGGTGAGGTAAGGCTGCGTACATCCTACCCTCCCCTGACCCCACTTATGGGATTACACTGGCTTGTTGTTGTTGTACTAGATATTATCCGTATTTTTGAAAATTACTTTTGGAGGGAAAATATAAGAATCTTTTTTATCCTAATATTTATAGGTTACATATAGGGGTGGAGGCATAGGTCGAGCTACGAATTCGGCCGAACCTAGTAGTTTTTGCTCTAAGAATGTATTTGTATTAAAAATCTCATTAGAATTGTACAATATTAAATTTAGAATTCAGTCATTAGTACTTGAAATTGTCATTCTAAAATTCAGAACCCATAAGGTTAAAATTCTGGCTCCGTCTTTGTTACAAATATCCAATTTCTTTAATTATACTTAGAGTTAATATCAAATACCTACAGGAAGGGAAAACCCATTAGTGCTTACATGAGAACCTTATACATGCATATACTTTAAAGTTTAAATATTTATAAGAACATTAGAATTTTGTGTGCATGGATGAGTTTGATTGACTATCTCGTTTCCCCATGTTGAGAACTGTGCCCAAAATTTCGCTAAGATGTAAGGATATTCAAAATTTTATATATATTTGTGTTAAAAAATATAGGTCAAAGTAACAATATAAAACAAGAAGATAAGTAGAATAATAGAAGAAGAGATAACTTTCTTATATCATCAAGTGTTCAAGTGTCTTCCATCTCACATTTCATGCCTCTATTTATACTATTACATATGAAGGTTACAAAATCATTGTCTTAAACATGGCATTAACAATTGAGATCATGGGGAGGGGTTATGGAGGTGTGGGAGTTACAATCATAATGGTGATGAGTAGTGGGAGGTAATTTACATCATGGGTGAAAGTAGTGGGAGTAATGGACATCCACATTTACTAAATATTTTGTAACACTCCCCCTTGGATGTCCAAAAAAATAGATAATATGCCTCGTTAAAACCTTCTTAAGAAAAAATCCCGTGGGAAAAAATCTTAGTGAAGGAAAAAGAGTACACATATCTCTAATACGCTTTATTTGCTGCCTCGTTAAAAACCTTACCAGTAAAACCCAGTGGGACAAAACTTAGGCTAAGGGAAAAAGAGTACAGCGCGTATCTTACTCCCCCTCATGAAAATATCACTTTATTTCTCGAAGACGTCGCATTCCAATCTTCTGTCTCAACTTCTCAAATGTTGAGGTTGGTAAAGCCTTAGTGAATAGATCAGCCAAATTTTCACATGAACGAATCTGCTGAACATTAATTTCACCATTTTGTTGAAGATCATGCGTGAAAAAGAACTTTGGTGAAATATGCTTTGTTCTGTCTCCTTTGATGTATCCTCCTTTCAGTTGAGCAATACAAGCAGCATTGTCTTCATATAGTATTGTTGGATTATCCTTTTTCATAAGAAAACCACACATTTCCTGAATATGCTGAGTCATTGATCTTAACCAAACACATTCCCGACTAGCTTCATGAATGGCTATTATCTCAGCATGATTTGAAGATGTGGCAGCTATTGTTTGTTTCATTGAACGCCATGATATAGCAGTACCTCTATATGTAAACAAATAGCCTGTTTGAGATCGGGCTTTATGTGGATCAGACAAATAACCTGCATCGGCATAGCCAATCATTTCTGACTTGAATTCATTAGAATAAAACAATCCCATATCTATGGTTCCCCGAAGATATCTAAATATATGCTTAACAACATTCCAATGTCTTCTTGTTGGGGAGGAGTTGAATCTTGCTAATAAGCTCACTGCAAAAGCAATATCTGGTCGAGTATTGTTGGCAAGATACATCAGTGCCCCAATTGCACTAAGATATGGAGTTTCATCACCAACGA